GCTCCAGTTACTTTAATTATAATTGTGACCAGCCCAAATAAGCATAATCAATTGCTTGTGGTGGTGGGAATTTTAGGCCAATGTATCTGAAATACTGTGCACTTTAGCTTTTTTGCCTCCATAATATTTCATACAGCCAAAGTGAATGGAATTTGCTAAGACGCAGAGCTTGTCAATCGAAAGGTCAGAAGCTCAGCAGTTCAAATTCCTAATGCCACATAATGGGGTGAGCTCCCGTTACTTGTCCCAACTTCTGCCAACCTAGCAATTTGAAAGCACATAAAAAATGCAGGTAGAAAAATAGGGACCACCTTTGGTGGGAAGGTAACAGCGTTCCATGTGCCTTTGACATTTAGTCATGCCGGCCACATGACCATGGAGACGTCTTTGGACAGCACTGGCTCTTCGGTTTTGAAACGGAGATGAGCACCGTCCCCTAGAGTTGGGAATGACTAGCACATATGTGCAAGGGGAACCTTTACCTTTACCTAGAGAAAGGAAACATAAGTTAGGCAAAGGAAAATTTCCTAAATCACACTTTGATCTTAAAATTAGGAGAAACAACATTTTATGTTTGAATTTCTAGTCCTCAAGTTAACTGTTAGATACATTTGTAATAAGACTTCAGAGAAATGCATTGTTTTTTTTAAAAAAAATGATTTATATGCTGCCCTTCTCCGGAGACTCAGGGAGGCTTACAATGCATTAAGCAATAGCCTTCATACTTTTGTATATTTATACAAAGTCAGCTTATTGACCCCACAATCTGGGTCCTCATTTTACCTACCTTAGAAAGGATGGAAGGTTGAGTCTACCTTGAGCCTGGTGAGATTCGAACTTACAGTAATTGCAGACAGCTGGTGTTAATCACAATGCTTTTAGTCTGCTGAGCCACCAGGCCCTTTGTGTTTGAAACATTGGGAAAAGAAATAACAACAAAGTTCTGTTGGTGCTATTCTGAAAAATATCAACATTCTTGTGGGCTGGTATATACTGTGCACAGGTAAGTACAGTGCATTCAGAAAATATTGAGACCCCCTTCACTTTTGTCAATTTTGTTATGCTGCAGCCTGATTCTACAGTTGTTTAAATTCTCTCCCCCCCATTAATCTACACTCAATACCCCATACTGACAAAGTGAAAACAGAATTTTAGAAATGACGTAACAAAATTGAAGGGGGTCTGAATGCACTGTACAGGCACTAGAAGGAGAGAATTGTAAACTTGGAAAGGCATTCTGTGGTACATACAACTTTTGTATTTTAGTAGATGCCTACACACCCTGTACTACCTTCTCCAACTGCAGATCCTTTAGATGCTGGAATTATGAATTCCAGAATTTCCAGAAAGTAAGGGGATTCTGGGGGAAAAGCTGGCTTGAATTCAGTGGTGAAATCTGAACCGGTTTGCTACCGGTTTGCTGGCCGCGCATGCACACTGTGCGCCAAGCACACCAAGCGTGTGCTATGCACGCACATGCAGTCCACACCAAACGCTCGCTATGCATGCATGCACTACACACCAAAAGGAGGCTTGGGTAAAGTAGAACAGCGGGCGGGATTAGCTGTGCCACATGATTTAGCTTCGCTAAAAAGCAGGATTTCCTGCTTTCTAGCAAAGCTAAACCGTGCGGCACAGCTGATCATTGGAAATACTGGTTCAGAGGAACTGGTAGCTTTTTTTAACTAGTTTTTATCACTACTGGTTCGCCTGAACCAGTAGCATTTCAACCCTGCTTGAATTGTATACGCTTGAAACATGTTTGTGTGCAGACATCACCAAGTAAAAGCACTGTGAAACGATATATAAGTCTGATTATATATATACCGTATATGTTAAATGAGATAGTTAAGTGAGTTTTGCACCATTTTATAACCTTTCTTGTCACCATTAAGTCTGTTAGATCGGCGCAAAGGCAGCAGGCGAGAGTTGTTAGTGAATTCAGCACCTTTTTATTTCCAGCAAGCTGTGACTGTGCTCTGCTGGCTGGGCTGCCGGAGCTCGCCTTTTAAGGAGCTCCAGGCAGACCAGCCGGCCAATGACAGCAGGTTAAATCTCCCACGGTCCGGACAGCCAATCAGCGGAGAGCATGAAACCTTATGTAGATTCTAGCCAATCCGTGGCGAGCATGAAACTTTATGTAGATTCTAGCCAATCCGTGGCGAGCATGAAACCTTATGTAGATTCTAGGCAATCCGTACATAACAAAGTCAATCACTGCAACTGTTCATTAGCAATACAGTTGTTAAGTGAATGTGATTTTCCCATTGACTTTGCTTGTCAGAAAGTTGTAAAAGGGGATCACATGACCCTGGGATACTGCAATTGTCATAATTATGAATCAGTTGCCAAGCATCTGAATTTTGATCATGTGACCATAACTTTGAATGGTCACTAAGTGAACTGTTGTAAGTTGGGGACTATCTGTACATTACTTGGGATTGTTTCTTCAACACAATAATACAGAGACATGGCTCTGTTCCACAAATATTGGGTATAAAATGGAAGCTGCCAGGATATCAGAATCTCAGAAAGATTACACATCCTTCTAATCTTTCAAGTTAAATTAAGCCAACACTTTTCATTCACTGTTTATTAATATACTACTCAACTTCAAAGACAAACAGCTTTGCACATGCTCAAAGTCACTGCTTATGAGGGGATGTGAAATATAGTTTTATAAACAAAAAATATCCAACTATTTTATATCTTAGAATTCCAGTTGTATAGTACTGTATTGTATTTACAGCTGTGCATCTAGCTGCTAGTTGCTAGGAGGATGGCTTGAGAAATAAATTGAGGAGGAGGGAGGAAAAGGGAAGGTTAGTCTGAAGATATTGATTGCATGACACACCGAACCATAACTAACAGCCATGTTTTAGTTGAACATATTGTGTAAACTCAACTCCTACAGTTAATTTATGATTCAGTGAGTCATGCACACCCATATCATTAAATAAATCGTGCTTAAACTAAGCATGAGTAAGCATATTGTGTTGACAATGAAAATATTAAAGAGGTGAATAACTTCTGTCTTTTAGGATTGACTATCAACATTAAACGACCCCATGGCGAGGAAATATGTCACAACTAGCACATGATAGAGTATAAAGGTCTTGGAAAAGATTGAAATGTTCATGCTATTGAAATGTTACCATGTGTCTATCCCTACAAAGATCAGAATTGTACAGGAAAGGGCTTTACTTGTGATTCTCTATGGAAGTGAAAGATGGGCTTTGAAGAAACAGAATATTCATGAACCTTTGAACTCTAGGGTTAGAGGGTATGTTATGTACCGCTTAGAAACAACTGGCTCATAGAACAAATCAGTTCAGAGTTCTCATGTAAAACACAAATGACCAGGGTCATATCGTCATATTTGGACATGTGAAGGCCCAGCACGCTAAAAAAAAAGTTGGGATGTTGGGAAAAGTAGAAGGAAAAAGGATGACTTGCAGTAGGATGGACAGACTCAATTATAGCCACAATGTGTGACTTCTGGAAGAACTGAAGGATAAGGTTGGAGACAAATCATAGAATAGAGTTGGAAGGAACCTTGGAGGTCTTCTAGTCCAACCCTGTCTGAGTAGGAGACCCTACACCATTTCACACAAATAGTTGTTCAGTCTCTTTTTGAAAGCCTCCAGTGATGGAGGCCAGCTATTCTACTGGTTGATTGCTCTCACTGTTAGGAAATTTATCCTTAGTTCTAGGTTGCTTCTCTACTTGGTTAGTTTCATCCAAGTCTATGCGATTGCTAAGAGTCAACACCACCTTTGCGGTACATGATTATGTACCAACATCTATCAATAAGCATATCTCACACACCCATTGACCCAAGATACCAACGTTTTCTGGCTAAGTAGGGCACGAATTGAAAACCTGTGCTCTTTTAGATATCACTGAATTATAACTCCCCGAAGACCAAGCTAATGTGTCCAATGATGAAGATTGCTGGCACTTATAAATCAGCAGTATCTGAAGGACCACAAGAACCTCTAGTTTTGCCCTAATGGTTTATCATAATTGTCTTCAGCTGCAATCAGCATGACCAACCCAGATGTAAACAATTAAAGCATCTGGCAAGTACATTTATTGATTGCACCACTTCCCTCCAATTATCATTTTTAGTATAATTTTTTAAAAAAATCCTAACCTGAAGCATTTATTCTCCTTTCCTCAGAAAATAAATGGTGTCCAAGGCAGCAAACTTCGGGGATCTCACCGCTAGGGGATGGAAGGTTAATCAGGACCTTTTCTTATGCTACCTCAGCTCACCTAGTCAGATTTACTCTGAAGAACAACTATAACTGGTAAAGTGAACGGAATTTACTCTCAAGTAAGTGCACTCAGCCCCCGGGTTGAGGGAAGACTTCTTATAGCTGGAGAAGACGCCAGCGAAGGCGTATCTGGGAGAATATTCTGCGTTCCCGTGAACAGCTGGACTCAAAGAATGAGTAACAAAACCTTTGATTAGCCCCACCCGGGTTGCTTTCAGGATCGAAAGCTGCCGACTTCGGATCAGGCAAGAGGTTTGTAGCCAGACTTTCTCCCGACACTGAGAAACCAATCCGTTGGTGCGACGGTTTCCTTTTATCTGCGGGTATTTAAAAAAAAAAAAAACCAAAAACGATTCGGATTTTCCCGACATCCTGTCGTTTCGCAAGGCAAAAAGCTTTAGTCTTACGTACTCCGATCCTATATCTCGGATATGTTTCTGCATATGGCCGGATTGCAATTGCACAGCCCTGGAGATGGCTGCTTCCTAAATGCTGGCTTTTTCCTTTCCTTACGCCGGTTGAGCATCCCACCTGCTCCCGCCCATTCCCTAATAGCGGCGACTGTCAAAAAGTGAAAGCGGCCAAGAAGAGGACGCGCGTATCCAAGGGCTCCTGCGCTCGTACCTATCGCCGAGGCGTTTCCCGCGCCTTTTCCCCCCGCTGTTGTTAAATCAGGTCACCCCGGGATAAGAGGGGGTGCTGCTGGGCGATGCTTACTCCGAGAAACGCGAGCCTCCCTTGAGCTCCAAAGCGATTTGGCGGCAACGACTCCTTTTCTTTCGTCGAGGAGGCGGCGGCGGCTAGGAAAGAGTTAAGCGCCGGCTCTTTGCCTCCCCTCCGGGGTAGCGAACCGAGAGCGCAGCAGTGGAATTGCTGACTGACTCGGGAGAAAAAGGAAGAGAAGGCTGGTTACGATGCCCCAACTACAGAAGACTCGTTGATCCGCTATATTGCATGCATATTGTCTTATTTTGCTTTTGCCTTTTTTTTTTTTATTTTGCTCCCCTCCTCCTCTCCTTTGAACCCTCCCATCCTCTTCTGCGGGACTTTCACGGCGCGTGTTCAAGCCCTGGAAGAAACCGCTCGTGCACACGCGCGCCCGCCGCCCGCCCATCCTCACCTAGATCGAGGGTTGCTTGCTTGGCTTGCTAGCTAGATGCAATTGCTGGCGCCGCTGTTTCCTTCTGCACCGGAAAGTTTCCTCCGCCTAAAGCAGCATCTTTGCAAACGGACCGCGCTGCAAAAGCTTTGGCGAGAAGCGTTTTTCTTGGGGCGCGTCAGAATTTCGGCTTAAGATCCGTTCCCAAAAGAGGAAGAGGAGAGACGCTGGAGTAGAAGAGACAAATCCCTCTCCCTTTTTTCCTCTCCCCCCCCCGCCTTTCTTGAAGGATTGTCGGATAACGAGGAAAAGGGGAAACGGCTCTCGATCGGGGAAGCCTTTTATTTCATTCTCTGCCGCCACCACCACCGCCTCTTGCTTTATTTTTTTTTTTAGTGACCATTCATCTCGGGGGATTTATTTGTGGAAAAATAACCAACTAAGAGAACCAAGCCAACTTGGAAAGCGGGGAAGAGACCCCCGCCTTGCTCTCTCCCATCCGCCCCAACCTTGTCCGTGGGTTTCCAATGTAAGGATCGCTCTCTGGGTTTGCCTTTTATTTTTCCCCCTCCGTGACCAAATATCCAAAGGAACTGTGGAATTAGAAAGAAGCCGTTCACCGATCGTGTGTGTGTGTGTGTCTGTGTGACACCCAGCTGGTTCTGTTTCAAACGGCGCCGAGAAGAATCCAGGCGGCGTGCAGGTAAGGGAAAGAGAGAAGGTGCCTTTTCCCTTGGATTTCCCTTCCCACCCCCCCTTTGCCCGCTTGAAAAGGCACCTTGTATTGGATTCCTGCCTTCTCCTTCAAAAGTCCATCTCTGGGCGCCTCCTTTCCATTTCTTCACCACCAGCCTCGTTTTGGTTCCGAGGAGAGGGAAAGTTACTGGCCCCTGTAAAGGAGGATCCGAATTCGCCGATGGAAAGGAGGTGAAAACGGCTGAATGGAAAGACAGAAGGGGGACCCCGCACCCCTCCTTTAAAAAAAAAAAAGGAAAGAAAATGCACTTTAGGGTTGTTGAATTTCGGCTGTGAACGTTTGGCGCGTTTTCCCTTGGCGCCTTCTGTACCGCGGTCGCAGAGAGGGAAGCACCGGGCAAACCCAGCCTTTGCGTCTTTTAGGAGCAGCGTGGGTGGGTGAGGAGGGCGGGAAGGCACCCCTGGCCCAGTCTCCAGCGGCTCCTAAGTCAAACGCGGTTGTCTTGTGTGCAGGGATTGCGCTCCGGGATCGGCTGGGGATCGTTGCGCGTCCTTTTTCGTCCGCTAGAGGTTCCCCGGGAGCGCGGGATTGAGAACGCGGAGGGAGAAATACCCCCCACCCCGAAAATGGGGTTCGTTTCAGCCGCACCTCGGAGAGAGCGGCGCTCAAAACGGGGGGTCCCCAAGGCTTTCTCTATTCTCCCCCCCTTCTTGGCGTTTTCTCATTTCTGGTGTGTGTGTGTGTGTATGTATATATATAGACAGCGAGCTTTGTGCTGTCACTTCTGTGCTTGACTTGGAAAGCTCGCTGTTTTCATATGGGGAGTGGGGGGGGAGCGTCGTCGGAGGTAAACCCCATCCATAGTCGGCATTTCTCTCAGGTTCTGACCAGAGGGGCTGCTTAACGTTTTAGAAATTAGTGGCTTAACTTTAGGTATCGTATTTAATATTTCCTTCTTTGTAGGTGATATTTGTTACAATTTTTCTCAAAGAGCATTTTAGGGTGACCCATTTATTTTTTTTAACGTGGTGGAATATACTTGGGAGTATCAGGAGGAAAGGTGAAGAGGAGAGAGAGTTTGGTTTTACTCCCTAGCTGTCTGTTTGAGGAGAGAAAACAAACGTGTATACATCCAACCCATAGGTTGGAACAGATGGGCAGTTTGGTGAATGCTTTTTAAAAATCCTCTGCACAGTTTTATTTAATTAGAATATTCCTTCTGTGATCTTGATTCTACTGGTCCAGACCCTTGTTCATTTTCTGCCACATTGTTATGATGTTTATGCAATCCATACATAGAGAGGTTTGATTAAGCCCTTTCTGATTTCTTCATTCTCAGAAGCCCAAAAATGCTTTCCCAATGTTGGCTGAATAGCATCCAAGAATGAAATTGGATATAGTAGAATCAAGCATACTATAAAGGAAAGCCTTGTGCTCTGAACTAGTGATAGCACTCATGGGAAAGAGCATGAGTTAAGAAAATTCTGAACAATCTTCAGCTTGTAATCCAATGTTGGCATATTGTCACCAGCCATTGAAATCTTTTATTTCTTCTGGTTATTCATCCAAGAAGCTCTGTGGCAAAAAGCTGTTCGCACTTTTTTTTGCTTTGCCCCCAAGTAAGAAAGAAAATGTGGGTTCCAATGTCCAGTATTATGTCTCTCTGTGGTTTTTGTTTCTTTGCCAGAGAATCACTGTACTAACATTTAATGAATACTTTAGGATTGCCAGGAAACTCCAAATGAAAATCACTGGATAGAGATGGCAAGAAAACCTATTTTTTTCTCCAGATAGCTCCGTTTCCTTGTGTCTAGACGCAAGGTGGTAGGGTCAGTTAAAATGATCCAGGAGTGACTAACTTGGGAAAACCAAACTAATTTATTAATCCAGTTCTAAAAGTTGTGTATATGTACAGATGCACACCCACACTCACATATATACTGTGTTATGAAGCATTGCCAAAAGCCTTATTTTCACTTACATCAAGACCAGAAATTTGCTTTATTATAACTAAATATGCTTGATAGGTTACAGGGCATGGATGATGCCTGGAGATTATAATCTTGGAGATTCAACATGTGAACAAGACTCACTGAATTTAGTAGGCTTGACCTCTGAATGCAGATATCTAGGACTGTAGTATTGCTATAGTAATAATGATTGGGATGATTAAGATGATAAATTTGTAGTATCTAATCTGATTCACATGTGTTGTATGAAATACCAATGCATGCTTAAAGCTCATTCATCTAACATATGAGGGAGGGTAATATACTCTGTAAAAACTGGCCTTTTTCTGAGTTAAAGGTTTAATTGATATTAACTTGTATAACTATAGCACATCTTCATAGCATATCTTAATATGGAAAAGGTTTTAATAAAGACAAATACTGTCATTGATATATTTGATGTACATTGTGACCAGGCCAGCTTAATTTTCAGCCAATAGTTTCAACCAGTCAGGATTGAAAAGCTTTTAAGTTTAAAAAATCCTTGTGACGTATAATTGTGTATGCTGTATAATAATCACATTGTTGATTGCCTTTATCAGAAAGCTGTCTGCTGTTTTCTGATAAAAGGCTTAAAGACAGCAGCAGATGAGCTGAAGTAAGTTTTGTGACTCACTTTCTTACTGCAACATTGCTAGAATAGTTGTGTTAGGACCTGAGAGGGTTCCCCCCCCTTTTTTTTTTAAAGCTCAATTTTATTTGAGATTTTACTGGATCATTTTAATACAAATTTAGCTAAACTTTGAATAGCTTGCCACAAAACTTGGAGAGATAGGGGTGGGTGGGCAGAAAAGGCTGTTTTCATTTTGATACAATATTTTAAGTGTCCTAAGTGTGAAATTCATCATGTGGAGATAACTATAAACTAATATAAAGTATTATTGTTAACAACGAAAAATTATATGGGCTTCTAGTTTCAGGGAAAAAAAGAAAACCACATGAATTAGACCTCAAAGCTGCATAATTGGTTCCCTATGGTATGAGTGGATAACTAGAGAATACCTCTGGTAAAGCACAAGTTAGGTAGAATGCCAATTTTAGAAGTAAGGAAAAGAATAAGAAAATACTGAGTCAATTTCCTGTGCATATTTATTTAATTGCATTTCAGTGAGAATTACTTATAAGAAGTATTCTTACAATTGCAGCTTGAGGGGGAACAGAGCAATCTTTCTGGGGGGAAAAATCAGTATATGTGTCTTCACTATCAACTGCCAATGCTCTGCTAAGGCAACACCCGTTACAGGGAGCACAATAAGAAAAATGGTCTTTATGCATAGCAAATGTGAAAAATGGAGGCATATGTATTTCCCAGTGTTATGAGTTGGCTATTCATTATTTTACTTGGCAGTCCTTGTTTTCTAAGAAGAAAAGGAGCTTCATTTATCTATGATTTTTTTAAAAAAGCATCTGTCATATGTTCTGATGTTATCTAAGATCATGGCATTGCTTTTAAATTAGTCAGATTCCTCTGATTTATCCTTTATTTTGCTGTTTAGGTAAATGAGTAAGGTGCAATATGTTTGTGCTGCTTCAGTAAAATGACACATCTTGCTGCATTTATTTTGTGTCTAGACATTCTATGAAAGGTCTCTAGGTGGAAATGTTTTCCTGTGTAGAAAGAACAGAGGAAATACAAACTACAAGAGATGTTCTTCTATGACAGCTAAACTATCTCTAAGCCCTATAATCCATTTAACAGGTACCAGTGAATTAAACTGAACATCCCGGGACAATATTGTTAAGTTGTAAACTATAATGGATGTGGTCTTAAGGTTCTCCTAAGACATTTTGTTGCCTGAAGGGAGAGGCAAAATGGAGTGCTCAAGTCTGTATGCTGGAAACAATCTGACTGGCCACTATTTCCCACCGTGGTTAGTATGTTTTATGGTACTGAGCACAGCAGGCTAAAACAAGGCTTATGTTTTGTGACGTATACCATATAAGGATCTCCCCCCATGATTTCTTTCCACTTGTGGGATAGCAGCCATTCTCTGATCATTGGCAGAGTTTTTCTTGCAGAATCTTGATGGGTGAAGAAAGTTGGTCTCTCTGCTGCTAGAAATGCACCTTCATGGTTATTGCCCGAAAGTGGATAGGCACGCTGTATTCAATTGAACTGAATATTTTAGTTGACCAGGTTTGATTATACACACAAGGAATTTGTCTCTGGTGCAGTGAACACTCAGTGCACATGCAAAGCAACAGAATAATGGTCATCATCGTACCAATAAGAGAGGGCAGTAAGAAAGATAAGAGGGAATAATAGATAGGAAGGAATAATAATACTACATCTCTTCTACATGGTAAATACGCATAGATGTTAGATAGCACTGTGAGAATTAAGTGTTCGGCAGAGAGATGGCCAAGGGGAAAAACTGTTCTTGTGCCTAGTTGTCTTGGCCTGTGGTGCTCTATAACACCATCCCAAGGGGAAGAGTAGAAAACATGTCCAGAATATGATATCTTCTGAGCCCTCCTTCTGATCTGCACAATATACAGATCTTCTATAGAAGTGAGGCTGGTTGCAGTTGTATTTCTGCAGTCTTAACTATCTGCTGGAATCTGTACCTGTCCTGTTTGGTTGCTGTAGCAAACCAGAGTTATAGAAGTACAAATGCCAGACTCAATAACTCCTCTGTAAAACGGTTTCAACAACTTCTGAGGCAGTCAGAAGTTCCTGAGTTGACACAGGAAGAATGTTCTTTGTTGTGCCTTTTTAATGCTGTTTCTAATGTTAAGTATCCATTTCAAGTCCTGGGAGGTTATAATAGAACCCCAAAATTTGAAGGACTCTACTGCTGATGCTGTCAAATATGGTAAGAGGTGGTAAAATAGAAGGGCTGCTCCTAAAATCCACTTTCATCTCTACGGTTTTAAGCGTATTCAGCTCCAAATTGTTACAGCTGAACCACAGGGCCAGTTGTTCAACCTTCTGCCTATATGCAGAGTCATCACCATCTGCAAACTTCAAAACTTCAACAGATGGTTCCCTTGACG